TGAGCCTCTACTTCATCCCGCATTTCCTAGGTTGATTTCAAATTGCCAACCCTATTGAAAATTTCCTTTGGCAATGTCATGATTAGTAGAGTTAATGCCCTTTTATTGGTCTTTGCTCTCTTTCTTTCTTCAATATTATATGATTTTACATCCTTTTTAATTCTTGATTCAGGAATTGCTAGAGTATCATCAGTTTCAGGAACAACAAGAATTTCAATGAAAACTTCATACGACCCATTAATAATAGATTTCATCAAATCCTCATCAATATTATCTAAAACTGAATCATACGAATTTTCCATTGTTGATATTCTCTAAAGAAAAGAGCAGGTGGCTTGATTTCAGAACCAATACTAATGTATTATTTCGAAATATTAAGATCAAAGAATAATGATTTATTCAATTGAATGTGAAAAATTCAAAGAAATCGACCAAGAAACTAATCAGAGTGAAATCACAGCGAATTGATCAAGTGTGATCAGTATTTGAATTGAAATAATTCAAGAAACAAGAATTTTCACAAAACAATTGAGATCTTGAATTCAGTCGAGACAAATTCTTCCAAATTGCAGTTGTATGCTCTGATATCAATTGATGTTCCCCAAATTGATCTTAAAAACAATTACAATAATATATTCAATCACATAAATAAGAAAAATGTAGATTAGATCACAAAATTCGGCATGTCATTAGTCTTGAATTTTTCAGTACATAGAGAATCTTAGAGAGATGATTATTACAAAAGATTACTCAGTGAATTACATCAAAAAGATTACTCTAACAAACTCTCAACTACCACTATATATACAAGATAAGAAAGATTAAAGTTACATGACAAATACAAGAATGACTAATCATAACATGACATGTTTTCTAGTATCCTCAAGTCTTTATGTCTTAAACATCCAAGAGTTGTGGAACACAAAGTTGAAATGCTAATTCCCAAACTCTGATTAAGTCCAATCGAAGTTTCTATCTGAACTCTGAGTCCACTAATCTAGATCTCTGACGTCTTTAGAACTTGTACTTGTTGGTTCCAGATTTCTCAATTATGATCTATTAATCAAATATAAGAGCGGAAGCAATAAGAGATCAAAATATGGTAAAACAATTAAGATGCAGAACAATGTAAGAAGGTCATAAATCTGTTTGTAATAGCATTGACCTTATCATGTATATTGATTAAACTCAAATTACACTTGTATGATAGTAAGGATCTTATAGTATAGAAAATTACAAGTGTGAAAGATATGAGACTTGATTCATACAAATAAACTAAGTATGAGCTCCTATTTATAGTCTGTAAATGGAAAGTCAAAGCATACACCAATGGGAGCCTTCCACGTGTAAAAGTGCTCTAACAGAATTTAGGCAGGAACGATTAAAGCCACGTGAGCTGCACCACTTGTTCACTTGAAGTTGTTGGTCAGACCAAAGATGTAATCTGGATTAAGACAAAGCCTCTGGTTTGCTATGTAGATGCTTCTAGTTGCGGCTACTGGTTCCTCTGCATGCGCCTTCTGGTTTTCCAACACTTAGGCTTTTTCAGACTTTTACAAATCAGAATTATTGAGTCTAACAATCTCCCATAAGTATGAATAAAAACATAAGAAAATAAAATTGAACTAGAAAGCAAGAGGCCAATATGGTCCTCTTTAAATTTCATCATACTAGATTGAAAAGTGATATTACAAGGAAATGAAATTTTTGTACAAGAAGCTTTCAAACAATTTGACAAAAATACCCTTTAATGTTTGTTTCTATTACAAATATGTTTTTTTTTTTGTAACGACTCTTGATTTTTTTTTAATCTATGGATTAGATTAATCCTCAAGATCCTCAACTTATTTTGGTCCTCACATGACATAACCTCTATATATAGGGTCAGGTTTAGGGGTAAACTGCACACACACACAAAAAAAAAAAAAAAAAAAAAAACTAAAACACACCCGGTAATCATTCATCTGGACGATGTGCATTTGTGCTTCAATTACTTATATGCACATATACATACTTTTCTAGATGAATGGTTACTAGGATGTTTCTCGGTTTTTCATTTTTTGGAGTTTTCCCATAGACCTCCCTCTCTCTCTCTCTCTATATATATATATATATATATATGAAGATGTTTAAACGAGAAACACTAAGTATATGAGAAATAGAGACGTGATTCCTAACCCTTAGATTAAATGATCAAATTTTATTGAATGAAGGGCAATATGGTAATTAGCAGAACGCATCGGCCATATATGATCAATACACCGTCATTGTCGATGACATCAATATATGTCTAGTCGCCGATATATGATCCCGATCCATTAACGATTCTAACAAATCAAATTAAGTTTAATGTCAATTCTATCATCGATTTTTTCTTGATTCCTTCTCGATCATATATTGTGCAAAGATTATCAAAATTATCAAATTTCTTAATTCTTTCTCGATCAAATATCATATTCTTTCAGTTTGAATCCAAATCCAAAAAGCGATCTTGAGCAACATGTTGATTTTGATCCTAAAACTATAATATTATATATGCTAACAAAGAAAACAATTGATATCGTAAGAGAATTTATTATTTTAAATGTGAATCACATTGGTTCACAAATGCATATATAGTTCATATATGAATAAGTTAAATAGTTCATATATGAATCACATGCATTCACATATACATATATAGTTCATATATGAATCACCCGATTTTACATATGCACATATAATCAATATGTGAATCACGCGGGTTTACATATGCACACATAGTCAATATGTGAACCATACGGGTACACATATGCACATATAGTCAATATGTGAATCACATGGGTTTACATATGCATATATTATAATTTGTTGCCACATATTTGCAAAAGTTACGAAAATTGCCCATTTATCTTTTGCATAATTTTTTACCTTGCAACTTAATTATCTAGTGCTGCACAATCAACCCCTAAAATCCTGACCGTTAATTATTTAGTGGAAGGTCTAGGATCACTTCTCTATTTCTCATATATTTGATGATTCTCAAATGAACTTATGGATATATATATATATATATGTGTGTGTGTGTGTGTGTGTGAGTGTGTGTGTGTGTAGGGAAGATCTTTCATTAACCAAAGAATGTTGTTAATTTTGTGAACTCGTTGGCCCAATCACAACCATTCTTTAGTCATGGTTACTTCAAATATTAGAGTCGATGATTAAGAGTACATAAATAACTTTCATTTGTAAGATACTTTATTATATTAAATGAGATGTTAAAAAAGAATTAATTGCTTGTTATTACGGATGATGATTATATCATCATTTTCAAGATTCTCAATTGTTATATTCAAATTAATTTGAATGATGGATAATCAAAATCTATACAATACCATTCAATATATTAATTTAGATGATTTCTTTATTTCTGTTGTTTTGAATGACATGTTCATTAGTGAATACAGTTCACATGATGTTCATTAGTGAACCTGGTTCACAAATTTCAATCTCAAAACGATGAAGGAGAGATTCCTAGGAACTAAAATCGGTACATAATAAAAGCTCATGATCTTTTTCCATTTTACCCTATTCACCATTGTTCATTACAACATATCACACATTCATTTTACTATTATTACGAAAATGCCAACGATGTKTTAGTCCATGGATTAAAAAAATTAAAGGTCACGATTCATTCAAATAACTAATACCAAACATATGATTAACAAATAAACCAACCCATATATATATATATATATATAATAAGTCTAATCAAATGTGAAGTAATTAGTTTGTGGTAACTGTAAGGTCCAATATGAGCCAATCATTTTATTATATTAATTGTATTACCTTAATTAAGAAAAAGGGTGTATTAGTAATTTTTATTAATATCTTTTTAAAGGTTATCAATCAAAGATATTGATACTGTTTCCTTATTAATCAAACAAATTATGGAAGTTTCTTTATATGAAGTTACAATTAAGAAAATTAATATATAATTTTTTACTGTTAAAAGTTATTGGGTATCGCACTGGCAACATAATGGTATCACAGTTGTATTCATCAACCGGATCTAGTATCAGAGTGTATATCACAATGTATTTTTGTCGTTATACGAAGTGTATTACAATATATTTTTGTTGTTTTACGAAGTGTAACACAATATATCATATAATGTTTTCTTTACCAAGTGTATCACACTGTGTTTTTTCGTTATTTTATAAAATGTATCACAGTGTGCATCATGTGTAAATATGGTGTTCGTTGTAGAGGGTTGAGAGGAGAGAGAAGAGAGAAGAGAGGAGAAATATATAATGATTAAAATGTCCTTAATTAATATTTTTAGTTAAAATTTTAAAAATTATTAATTTTTTAATTTAACCTTTAATTTATGATTGAGATTAGATCTCACGATTATCACAAACTAATTAGTTATTTTTTGAATGGACCCTTTTATATATATATATATATATATGTATATATATAGGGTTGGGTTCACGTGAGACCAGCCTGTTTTCGTGAGACCCGTGAGACCACGTTTTTACACGTAACCTTCACAGTAAAAACACTGTGAAGGTTTTAAAAAGTCGAACCTTCACAGCAAAAACACTGTGAAGGTTTTAAAAAGTCACCTTCACAGCATTTTTGCTGTGAAGTTTCAAGTGTAAAATGCTGGTCTCACGGGTCTCACGAAAACAGGCTGGTCTCACATGATCCCAAGTCTATATATATATATATATATATATATATATATATATGGAGAGAGAGATGGTCTTTAGAGGGTATCACCAATTCACTTTTTTTTATTTTTTAGTCGATATAGATGCTTAGTATTACATCAAATTTAGTATCTTATTATTGATTAGATCAAATTTAATGTTGTATTATAGTTATTTAACATCAAATTTGATATTTTCAAAGATGGTATTAACATTGTGGTGTAAGATATTGATTCAAAGTTGGTAATGGAATTTAATCGCATGAATGGATCTCTTAGGAATTAAATGAACGCTTTTGTAACAATTCAAGTGCAGCATAATCTTTGTCCATCTCAATGATTTTCTAAGAAAGAAAATATCGAGTCTGCATCATCCCCTTGACATTACCCTCATCTCCTCCATCTCTCTCTGTCTTCAGATTCCCTTGCTTTCTCTTTCTCTGTTCTTCAGCCCATCCCTTCCTCTCTCTCTCTCACACACCCACACCCACACCCACATAGAGACAGTGCAGTAACATCAATCAAATTTCAATGGGGAAAAGTTCAACCAGATTCTTGTTTTCATATTCAGTGTTCCTGATTATGCAAAAGCTTAATTCAATTCTTTAATAATTACTGAGATTTAGTGGTCGGGTGGCTTTGTAGAAGCTCAATATTTTGCTTTTCTTTTTGAAAGAATCTTTTTATTCTGATTCTGAAAGTTGGGGTCTTTTTAGTTTCTTTTATTTCTTCCTTTCTTTTTTCCCCCTTTTTATCCATTAAAATGGGGAACATAAATGGTAGAGAAGATGGTGGTGGTGCCGGTGGTGATGGTGGTAGCACCTCTTCTATTGGCAACGACGTGACTGCCCAGGACGTTGAAGGTGCGCACGTTAACTATATTGCTCGTGCTGGTGATGACGGTGAGTTCATGGGTCACTCTCCTCCTCCAAGCCCTAGGGTTTCTGGCTCTCCATTGATGTTCACTCCCCAGGTGAATTTCTTATTTTTGATCTTAGGTTTTTCGCCCTTATTTGCTACCCCCTTTTTTTTTTCTTTATTAAATACCCATTAGTGTGATTTGATTTTGAATAATACCAACAATAACAATGATACAGTAGATTCGTATCCTGCAAAATTTGATGGGTTGCTTTATAATGCAACTGATATCGTAGATCTGGAAAATCTTTGCAATTTCTTTGTCTTTTTCTTGTGATGATGCATCTTGCATTCTTTCTTGTTTTCATTGTCCTCCTATCGTTATTTCTGTTTTTCACTTTGGTGTGTGTTTGTGTTGGGAGATCGATTTATCAGCTGTTCAACTGCAAGTTAGCATATTGTTGGATTTGGGGTTTTCAAGAAAATGTGTCTGGTTTGATATGCTTATCTGTCAAATTACTAGTGTGTGAGAATTTGGTTTCTGGGTGCTGCTTTTGTGGGTATTTGGACTTGTAGTTTTTGATTTCTTTTTTAAAACATTTAAGCTCTTCAATATAAATTTGCTGACTAGATAGGACATCATCAACTAGAGTTACTGCCCTGTGAGTCCTGAAGTTTGATCAGCAGTTATGATTGTAGGCATGGCTAGTTATTGACATGCTGACGGCTTTGTGGCTATTTGGATTGTAATTTGATTAACCCTAATTCATATGACTATGCATCCCATGATTTTGATGAACTTAGTTCTGTTTGATCAGCTCAAGTAGTAGTCTACAGGCCATGGTATTAAGATGTAATGAATTTTGCCTTTTGTTTGGTCCCTAGCAAACATGCTTTTAGCTGTTCGTTTAGCCTAATTTCTCTGCAATGATTGCATTTATCAACATTCAATACAAAAAGCAATCCTACTTTTATATATGGGGATGTAATTTCATTAAATTAATTTTCTTACAGATGTTAAAAAGTTCGAAACCCATCTGTAGAAAAGAGTGATTTACTGATTTGAAGTTCAAACACAGAAAACATTCACCTAGTTCTGTAGTTGAACATTAAAGTGATCTTATATTTTGCAAACGGAAGAGAGTAGATTTCTTTATCTTTTCTTTTTCTGTTCAAATGTATATTTAATTATTGGGGTTTGATAAAAGGCCTATTTTTCGGATGAACCGACTACTTTTTTTGGGTGTGTAGATAGAGTTGCTCTCCCTCATGCCAATCTTACCTGCTAAGAAAAAGAATCCGTTTTGTATCAAGTTTGCATGCCCAAAATGTAGATAAAGTTGTATACTCTGACAGTATACAAAAATGCAAAGAGATCCATTACAGTAAAGTGGGAGTTGCAGTCTTTTTATCTTGTGAAGAATATTTAAAGGTTCTGATCTTTTGCATTTTTACGAGTTTTTCAGGTACCTGTTGCTCCTTTACAAAGACCTGATGAGATGCAGCCAAACAATTCATGGATGCACACCTCCTCCAGCTATGAGGACATGATGAGTGAGCAAGGAATCCCAACAATGATTACCTGGAGTTACGATGGCAAGGAAGTTGCTGTGGAAGGATCATGGGACAATTGGAAGACAAGGTAAAACACAGAGGTTTTTTGTCTACTTATCTAAAAACCCAAACTAAATCAAACAAACTCAGTATCACACCCGGAGAGGTGCGATTGGGGATTATGTGGACCTGACCTCTATCCCAAAGGGTAAAGTGGCTGTTTCTGTGAAGACCCCTGATTTGTGCAAAGTGTGCTAAATGAAAGGATAAAGTTTGCTCAAAGTTTGTGCGGTGATAGAACATAAGAATTTGTTTCAGAATAATATATGACCCTGTATATAGCTATTTGATGCTCTCTTCTTGACCAGGAAACCCTTGCAGAAATCTGGGAAAGATTTCATCATATTAAAGGTTCTGCCTTCAGGCGTTTACCAGTACAGATTTGTTGTTGATGGACAATGGAGGTATTCCCCTGATGTACCGTGGACACAAGATGAAGCAGGCAACACTTGCAACATCTTAGATTTGCAGGTATTTGACATCCAATTTCCCTAAATTTACATATATAAAGTCAAATTGGCAAGATGAGAAGGCCTGATGTCAACAGCTTAAAACGAGGCAGATTCACTTGATTTTGTGACAATCATTTGAATTGCAAGGCTCGGTACATATAGATAATACGTGGGTTACTTTTGCTTAATATCTTGCACTCTTTTTTCACGAGTACAAAATGTGGTTAGGTGTGTATTTTTGAATGGTATTCTTTGGTTGTAGACTGATACAAAACTCTTCTTGTCCTCTCGTAGGTAGATATCCACCGTAACTCCTTCAAATCTTTCACATGACTCTCACTTTTTGCAAGAAGTTGATGATTAGGATATGAACTGTAGTTGGGATTTCATTCATTTCATTTATAGACATAGAAAGTTGGGAACTTTTTACGAAATATATAATAAAGTCGATTTAGGACATTCAAAAAGGCGTAATCCATCTTGATTCCTTCTGCCTTGATTCTTCATCTTCTCTTGCATATGGTTTATGTGTATGCCTCTATTTGTTCAAATATCGTTTCATTAAAATTGTTTGTTTCTCCATCCGAATGGATCTTATTAGGGTTGTTCGTTTACCTCTTAATAGTTCCATTAAGAGGCAACCTCTGAATTGTTAAGAGGTGAATCTTGTTTGGCAAAAAAAAGTCTGCCTTTAGGTTCTAAAACCCTCTGAATGATTTTGTATCCTGGATCTCCCTTAACCATTAAGAGCCCTAATCTCATTGTACACAATTACCAAACAATTATATTTCATTTTGCACTATATCATGAGAACCACTTAATCATTCTGCACCAAACCATTCAGCAATTGTCAAACAGCCTCTGAACGGTTCAGTTTGTCTCGTAGTGATTCATTACATGATGCATACTGATGTGTCAACCATTTGGAATTCTTGATCATTCTGCTATTCATTTATTTCTATGAAATACCACCAAAGTAACTTATAACATAGAACCTCTGGTTTTAATACCATCTTAAAGTATGTTGTCGTGCATTTGGATGCTGTCCTGATTTCACGAGCCAAAAATATAAAATCTGTTACTGTACTAGCTGTTATAATGTCCCATCTCGTGTAACATCTTACTCATTTTTTAAACGTATACAGATTTTGGAACTTCGATGTGGTCCCTGATTAGATAAATCATACATGTGGTGTCCTAGTTTGTTATTTTTTTGTTTTCTTTTTAGTAGTAGTCGCGCAATCTGGTTTATGGATGTGTTGTTCTTTTCATTCATCAGCAGCAGGTATCCTTCTATTATATATTTGCTAATTTACGGGAAGTAATCTGTATATTTTTTCTATTTACTTGTAGTCCCTCTGTTTCTAAATGCACGTCATCTTTTCCCTTTTAGCAGTTCAATCATGTGACCACATAATCAACCACAGATTACACTTGCTCCTCTGATATAATAATAAAAACAAAATATGCCCATATATCCGGCTTGGTTTTAGGAATTGGGTGGTAATCAATATGGCAAATCCTGCGCTCATAGTATGCACTTAAGATGATTATTTAGAGGAATTTGATCCGTAGTCGGTACAACAAAGATGATTTTATTTAGTTTCCTACTTCTATATATGCTCCTGGTCTCGAGCGAGGTATGGAAATTTCTCATGCATCTTTTTTTGGAAAAAATTTCAAGCCAAGTATCCCAATGTAGACAAAGGGTTAACATGCAAAATTTGTAGTTATTCCTTGCTTAAAAGCCGAGGTCTATATATATACAGACATACATGCATACATACACATACACACACACATGCAAGTGCCGGCCACTTTACTTGTACTTGTATGCAGCCGATAGCTGGATCTCATACATTCATAAGTGCATGTCCGGCAATACAAAATACTCCCTCTGTCTCAACGTAAGCGGTGAAATAGTATTGTGGTCCAGTTTGACATACTTGTTGAAGAAAAATAAGTGATCAAATAGTAATGTCCATTTCTTAGTGTGTTTCTAACAAAGAAAAGACGCTTCCCACTTCGGATTAAAAAGATAGGTCAAGTGGTTTAAAATCCCATCCTTGTCTGTATGATGTAAGTGTTCTTGGATATGCGCTATTCATAAACGGAGTTCACTTGTCTCTTTGAGCAGCAAATGGGTTCATTTTAGTTGAGTTGAGTAGAAAATTTGACATCTTTCACTACTCAAAATACATTATAAAACTTTTGAAGCTGAATATCTGACTAAAGAATCCATGTGATGATGAAACTTGGAAAGTATTTAGGTTTGAGGTAGTCGGTAGCGGAAGTCACTACAACATAGTGGGCCTTCATGCATCCTAATAGAGTACTTAATTGGGCTTTTGATTTTATAGGACCAAAAACCGGCATCCTATCTAAAGGCGTTACAATAAGTTGTTAGGATGAAGTTAGGCAGTCAAAAAGTTCTATATACGAAGTCGGGCAACCTAACAAGACAAAAAAGAAGTAAATCATTCTATTAGCGTTTTTTACATGACACTTCTAAAAAATGACTTGTATATGAAAGGCTAATAGGACAGTTCTCAAAACAGTTCTATAAAAAGGTTAATAGGACAGTTTACTTTTTGTGTCCTGTTACGTTGTCTACTTCACTGATAAAACTTGTTAGGTCATCTAACTTCGTAACAATTTACTCTACCTTTAGATGGGATGCATGGTTCCTGCTCCTATAAACTTTGAAGCCTTTGTTTGTATGCCCAAGGATGGTTGGACGTCCTAAAAGACCAATTTTGTTACAGTGAGTAGCCTCTAATTAAGGTAGTCCAACATTACCAAACGTGTATTTAGGTTTGAGGTTTCGGTATCAGAAGTCTGTACAATCGAATGGGTCTTCACAACTCACATGCGTCTTTTTGAATACTTGAAAGGATTTTAAGTTTATATGACGAAAAACTTATGTCTTGTCTGAAAGCATTACAATAAGTTGTTTTTGCTTTGTTAGGCAACCTAACAAGTTTTATTTAGGAAGATGGACACAAAAAGTAAATCATCCTATTAATCTTTTCTAGTATCTGGCACAGGAATACGTACCTGAAGACATTCAAAGCATTTCTGGTTTTGAACCTCCTCAATCCCCAGATTCAAGCTACAATAATCTGCAACTTGGTTGCGAGGACTATGCAAAGGAGCCACCATTAGTACCACCACATCTCCAGATGACACTGCTGAATGCCCCCTCGCCCCACATGGAGATCCCACCGCCTTCCTCCAGACCTCAGCATGTGGTTATAAACCATCTGTATATGCAAAAAGGCAGGAGTAGCGATTCTGTCGTGGCCCTTGGATCCACTCATCGTTTCCTATCCAAGTATGTGACCGTGGTTCTCTACAAGTCTATACAACAATGACAGCAAACTTAAAAATCCGTTTTTATGCAAGTGAAAACTGTGTTTAGAAACAGCCAGCAGGAAGGAATGGAGTTGTGTTTTCGATCCTTGGTTCTTCGTCCTTGATGGATGGATGGGTGTGTGTTTCAAGAGGATTTGTGGATGCCATTACCCATCTTCAGCTTAAAGATTTTTGAGCTTTATGTGTACCTACTATCATGTGGAATACGATTCATCATGGCAGGGAATTCAAAGATTTACAGCTGTTGGCAAATTGTAACAAAATAAACCAACTTTGTCTTCGTTCTTATCTTGAAGAACCAACTTTTAAAAGCTTTTATCACTTTGGCAGGATCGGAATTTTATTTTGGAAAATCAACTTTTTAATGAGGTTTGATCATGTGTTTGGTTGGCAGTAAATGGAAAGAAATATGTCAAAAGAAATGGAGTTTGTTTGTTTGGTTCTTTAATTAAATATATTTTTGGAATTATAATAAAATAGTTATAAATTACCCATATACCCTTCATAATATTTTCATACTTTATTAGTTAATAAATAAATGCTATATAATGGTAGAATTAGTGATAATATTAATTAGTGGTAATGACAGAGGTGGTGCGGTGGCAGAGATGGCGGTAATGATGGTGGTGTGGTATAGCGGCGGCAAAGACGATGGTGGTGGTGGTGTGGTGGCGACGATGGTGGCAAGATTGTCATAGTGAGTTGAAATAGATTAGATAAACTATGGAAGAGTAATAGTCGTTAAGACGAAATGGAATTTGACATTCCTTACTAAAATCCAAAGAATTTATACAATTGAAATTCTATTCTAGATCTCAAAATGAACTAAACATGAATGAAATTTGGTCTATGAAATTCACCATTTTTATTCGTTCAAATTCCATCGAATCGAACGCCACCCAAGTTTATACCATCAAACAATGTGTGTCATACGTAAAACTGTTGTAATAACTTTATAAAATGTTTTTCGACGTCCCAAATAGTTTCTTAGAACACCCTTTGAAATAAATATACTATTATCATATTCAAAAAATATTCTATCAAAATATCGTTTTATACGACACTCGTTTTCACACCACTTTTTTCAAATAATATTACAAAAGAGTTAATAAGGATTTTTATTTCTAAATTGTTTTAAAAACTTGTTAAGACGTCTTAAAAATTTATTGCAACGATTGTTAAGGATGCTTAAAACATTTTGTATGTCTTCTAAATACGGTTTTCTACGATATATTTTGAACGGAGTTTCTAAACCATTAAGCCATTAATGAAAAGAGGGTAGTGTAGATGCAACAACTTTATGTAGGCATGATCAAGAATTTGTCTATATGTATTTATCTGCCGGCCACGATTAAAGCGTAGTACCATCACCATCCTTTGGGAGCATGTTTTTGTTCTATTTTTTTGGTGTAAAATGCTCTGCAGTGGAAAGGTGGTGGTAGATAGTGACACTAATTTTGTTTGGTCATCAAATATTTTTTTTTTAATTTATTTTTTAAATAATGCTAGAAAAATGGTTTTATTGGATAAAGATCGTGTATTTATGTTCACTATGAAATCATTTTATCTTAAAAGAGTTTCGAATTTTGATAGAATAAAGATTCGAGATACTGAAGGGATTTGGACGTACATTGTTGTCACTACATTTATATTGCCTTCTGATAAAAATAGAGCACACGAAGTAGAGATGGCCCGGACCCAAGATTCGGAAGCCAATCCTAGGGAACAGTGAAGCTTCATAGGGTCTTTTGGTCCTTTAACTCCTCGCCATAGAAGACACAGGTAAATTCCCCAGTTCTCGATGCTTCCCAATTTCCAGGAATTAGTCACTTCAAAATTTTCCACCAATTATTCTATCTCTGACTATTCAAAATTGGGTTTACAGGACGTAAAAATTTCTAAGCATCTTAATAGATTGCTTCATAATATTTAATTTATAGGACAAAAAAAATAAAGCGTGGAATCTACATATGTTGTAATAAGTTTATAGGATGCTTTTGGGCATCGTAACAAGTTTTTAAGGCGTTTTTTTAATAGAAAAAAACTGTATTAGTTATTTTATACAACACTATTTGAAAAAAACAAGTGTTTTATAAAAAGATGGGATTACAAGACATTTTATCAAAAGTGTCCTATAAAATAGTTGATGCGACGTTTTGTATTTAAAGTGTCATAAAAAAACTTGTTGAGACACCCAAAAGCGTCCTATAAACTTATTACAACGCCTTTAGATAGGAGGTTTTATTTCTTGGTCCTATGAATTAAGTCTTATAAAGCAGTCTATTAGGATACTTAGAATGTGGTGGCGTCCTATAAACCTAAATGTTGTAATCCCATGTGATTTTAGTGAAATCATCATGTCATTTTATATAACTAGATTCACAAGAGAACAATGGGGTTGGTAGCTAAGCTATAAAACATGCTAGGAGTTGTGAAATGCATACTTGTGTAAGTTAACTAGAAACCAAGATTGTTGGATGACTTTGTGTGGCGAGGATCTAAGTGGCAGAGGACAGTGCATGGGTCGTGCATTTTTGGTCATCAGAAGTAGATTATCTGTGCTTGGGAACAGAAGGCAGTGCACGACCCGTGCACATTCGCTACTGAGTCACGACAAGAAATTGGGTTCTTCACTACCGGTTCTTTGATCACGACAAAACGTACGAGCCTTGCGTTTTTAGTCAGAATGTTATTAGTAGTTGTGTTCAACTCTATCTAGAAGATGGTACACTTGTGTTCAACATGCTGAAGGTTGGCCACTTATGTTCAATTTTCTATCTAGGTGATGGTACACTTGGGTTCAACACGCTGAAGGCTGGCCATTTGTGTTCAGCTCTCTATCTAGCTGATGAGACACTTGTGTTTAACTCACTAATGGTTCACTGATGTTCACGTCGCTAAAAGTTCAACTGGTTGATAGTTCACTAGTGTCCAACTTGCTGATGGTTCACTAGTGTTGGACTTGCTAAAGGATTGTTGCTTGTGTTCAGCTCGGTAAAGGGATTGTTGCTTGTGTTCAGCTCTATCTAGCTGATGGTTTGTCACTAATATGTAACTGCCATATTTGTAACCATCCACTACTTATTTCCAACAATCATATATTGGGGACTTATTCTTGGGATTAAAATAAGAGCGACTACGGTTCTCTAAGTTTAAAAGGAAATATTTCTACCAAAATCTGGACTATAATTTGAGATTATCCTCGACTGAATTTCGTGATATCTAGGCAGATTTGGGGTCATAATATCACTAAAGGAAAGCGAGCTCTCACGCTATCTCAAGTTTTATGCAAGTTAAATGCTCATTTTTTTTCTCACTGTACTCCCAATCCCTAACAATCTTTAAGTGATATTTTTGTTTTATGTGAACACGACGACTGAACAATCCATGAGAGACATGACCAACAAGTCCACCAAAGTGGAGAAGTTTGAGGGTATGGATTTTAGATGATGACAGAAGAAGATGCACTTTCTACTAGCCACTCTAAAAGTAGTTTACATGTTAAGTACTACTATGCAAGAGGTTATAGAGAAGACGTGGCACTAGAAATGATGTGTCATCAGTCGTGGGAGGTCGATGACTACATCGGTCCTGGCCATATTCTAAATGGTATTTGTGACTCTCTCTCTCCAATATTTATCAAAATCTGGAGTCTGCCAAAGAGCCGTGGGACTCTCTTGTGACACCCATACTTCACATTTGCATATAACATATATTTCATATAAAATAAATACAGATTATACCACATAGGTCCCACTAGTACAAAGATTCTATATATACATAATCTACAATTGAAAAATTCCAAAAGAATATCCCTGTACTATCACATATATGTCAACATGTATCTTCAAAATATTTCAATAAACAATTTGATCTTCAAAAACAACAAATAAGCATATAAGGAAAATAATCATAATTTCCCCTTCCCCTTCTGTTGATCCTCTCTCTTAGTGATTTGATGATAATCCCTTTTTATCTATCGATGTAATTTTGTTTCTGTATTTTTAGTTCCAGCGATCAGACACTGAGTATGTTTAGTGATCGCTGAAGAACTTGCTTTGTAAATCTCAGAGACACAATACTTCAAGAAGACAACACTCACACCAAAGAACCTTCAGCGAATGTCGAARACTGAAACTGAAGATTAGAGACTGGCGAGTACGTGATCTGAAGCGGTATTCAGTGATTACGAACTTTTCTACATATGTGTGAAGACTGCTCTAGCTTCAGCGAATG